GAGCCCCAACCTCTTCTAAAAGAGTAAATGATCAACAGATGTCACTTTACTTAGGAGTGAAGCTAAGACTTAACCTACTTATTTAGACACTGCATTCAGGGCTCTTTCCGCCCTACTTTGGCTGCTCCAGATCATTGTCCATCTGGCATTTTACAGAGAGAGCAGAGAGGTGACCAGCACAGTGGAAAGAGCATGGACAGAAACCCGGTGTTAAGATCCTGTCACCATTAAGTATTGTCACTGACTTTGGGCAAATCACTTGGCTTTCCCTGCAGTGTAAAGAGGTAATAAGAGTACTTGGAAAGTTCAGTGTGAGAATTGAGTAAGATACAGATAGAACACTTGAACCATAGTGGGTGTTTGGTACATGGGGACTTTTATAAATATATGCTAATTAGATTTCCACCATGGGAAAGGGGTTTACATTCCTGCAATTTAGTAAACAGTTTCTTCAGGCAATTTCCATGTTCAGGAATTGAGCCTGGAAAACCAAGTTTTAATTGTTCTTAGGAACATTTTATTTCTCAAGCATATCTTCTAATTACTTAATTTAATAATTAAGCATTTTTAAGGACATGTTAAATGGAAATATGATTGGGCAGAACATTCAGTTGGGCAAGGAGAAAATCAGACTCTTTTGCTGCACTATGTTGCTTATGTAAACTTAAAATCGTATCTGTGGTTTAATAAAAATGAAACCATAATAGGAAGGAATAAAGATTTATAGGACATACAAATCAAGAAGAGATACGTAATTTTCCATTTTTTAGTTATGAACTGTACAGACTGTTTGTAACATACATAAAAGTTCTAAAGATCAAGTGTAAACCCTGCCCATTCTTCCAGTAAGTTAGGGACCCGAGCGTTAACCATTGCTTGGAAACTTTCACGTGTCCTGGCAAACTCACTTTCATGTTGCCTCTGGCCACCCCTCCAACTTAGTTGGGAATTATATTCTTGCTTTTCTTTGCAGTTTTACCAAATGCATGTGTGTTCCTGAAACAATAATTGTTTAATTTACATATTTTTCAAAGATAGAGAGCAGGTGTCCTCAAACTACGGCCACATGCGGCCCACCAGGTGTTTTTGCCACTGCTGCCTGTCCTGCTTAGCAGCCAACTCCTCCCGGGGCCTGCAGTCCGGCCCTACAACGGTCTGAGGGACAGTGAACTGGCCCCCTGTTTAAAAAGTTTGAGGACCCCTGATCTAGAGTCACACTATTTATTTTTCTGCTCCTTGGTGCAAAATTCTATGTGTGAGATTCAAGTGTGTTGATGGGTTAGATGGAAGGGTTCGTTCATTTTTACTGCTGTTCTAATATTCCATTTTTGAATAAGCTACAGTCTGTTGAATATGTATTTGTTATTGTGTCTATGGGCAGTGGTTTTCAGATTATTGGGGGGGGTGGAAGAAAGGTATTTTGCTTTGATTTATTGTTTATAAGCATTAATCCTCATAGCCTGTAGCACCAAGGTGTGGGAGCTCCTAGTGCTGTTGCTCAGTGGCCACATGTTTACTGTCTCAACCAAGACTCTTGTAAGAGTGAAAAGAGGTACTTAACAATTTTACTGAGACCATAGGTGAAAAATGGAATTATCCTGGGAAAAATCAAGATGTGTTGTCGTCCAAATTGTAGGGTTTGTGCTTGTTAAACGTCACTAGATGGTACCAGGTTGTTTCCACCGCAGATGTTCAAAAGTGTCCCCTTTCAGTGGGCTCGACTCTTTTGCCAGTTTGCCAGTGGATCATTTAGTATCCTGTTAATTTTTTAGGAAATCTTCACATTTTCGTGATATTAATCCTCTCTCAGTTTCATGTTTTACTTTCCTTGGGCTATTTTTGATGATAAGGGCTTTTAATTTTAATACAACAAATGAATTCATCTTTCCCTTTATGATTTGTGCTTATTTATTATTCCTGGCGTAAGAGGTTTTCCCTGCCTTAAATATATTTTCTTACATTTTCTTTTCAAAATTTTAAAGCTTTGCCTTTCACCTTTAGATTTTTAATGTGCCTCTAATTGATTTTGTCTGATGTGAGGCAGGATTCCAAATTTACCTTTTCCCATGTGTATCATGAGTTGTCTAAATGTCACCTGTGAAAATCCACTGCCTCCTTAAGTGGTGCCCCGTATTCCCTGACCAGTGCTACCCCTGCTGTATTTTAATCTTCACACCCTAGATGTTTTGTATATTGTAGGGAGATAATTGTATACACAAAGAATGAAGAGTTTTGGGATTTTTTTGAGACACAGTCTATGTTGCCCTTGATAGAGAGCCATGGTGTCACAGCTCACAGCAACCTCAAACTCTTGAGCTTAAGTGATTCTCTTGCAGCAGCCTCCTGAGTAGCTGGGACTACAGGCGCCTGCCACAACGCCGGCTATCTTTTTGTTGCATATGTCATTGTTGTTTAGCAGGCCCAGGCCTGGTTTGAACCCACTGCCCTCGGTGGATGTGGCCAGCGCCATAACCACTGTGCGACGGTACCGAGCCAAGAATGAAGGTTTTTAAATACTTTCAATTTTTATTTTACCTTTTAATTATTTTTCTTGTCTTATTCCGCTACCTAAGGTGTGCAGTGTTAGGCTGAATAGATATATTGAAAGAGGAGTTTTTCCTCCTTTTAGAGAGACTGCTTTAAACATTTCAACATTAATTTGAGATTTCTTTTAGGTTTTTAGTAGATACCCTTTACTGCATTAAGGAAATTGCTTTCTGTTTATAGTTTGCTAAGAGATTTTATCTTGATCTCTTGTTTAATTTTACCAGATACTTTCTTCTGCGTGCATTGAGATAGTAATGTGGTTTTTATTATTTAATATACTAATATGTTCAAGTGCATAAATTGGCTCAGCGCCTGTGGCTCAAACGGCTAAGGTGCCAGACACAGACACCTAAGGTAGCGGGTTTGAATCCAGCCCGGGCTGCCAAACAACAATGACGGCTGCAACCAAAAAATAGCCGGGCGTTGTGGCGGGTGCCTGTGGTCCCAGTTGCTTGGGAGGCTGAGGCAGGAGACTCGCTATAGCCCAGGAGTTGGAGGTTGCTGTGAGCTGTGATGCCACGGCACTCTACCCAGGGGAATAGCTTGAGGCTCTGTCTCAAAAATAAATAAATACATTGCTGGATTCGATTAGCTCATATTTAAGATTTGGGCATCTATATTCAAGAGTGAAATTATAGTTTTCCTTTAAGTACAGCCTTGTCAAATTTTGCTGTCAAGATTATATTAACTTTTTAAAGTGAATTGGGTCAGTTTCCTGTTTTGTTTTTTTTTTCTTGTCTACAATAATTTTTGTACAGTGGGGATTATCTGTGCTGAATTTTGGGAGGAAATGCACTGGTAAGCCATCTGGACCCTGTATTTTCTTTGCAGGAAGACTTAACTACTGATTGTACTTTTTATAGTGGTTATGGGGCTATTCTAGTTATAAGGATATGGTTAGTGTTAGTGTCTCCATGTGAATAAGGCTAAAGTAAGGAAACATAAGTGAAAAAGCTATTTTGCTGCAAATTGTAGTGAATGTGCCTTACCACAAAATGTTAGATACATAATTAATGTATATGTATAAATCTTTTCTACATAATGTCTCCTCATGCGTGTACATGTAATCATCATCTAAGTCATGATTTATTTTATCATTTTTGTTTGGCTGTTCTTCTTAATTTTCCAGACAAGTAAACCCTTAGATCCTTACTTTAACCATTTTACTTTATTTAGATTTGATTTATGTAAAAGGGAAAGTGATCATCCCTGCCCTAAATTTTTAGAACTATTATTTAAATATTTACTTAAGAATAAAGTTTATTTTTTCCTTTACCTCTCCTCTCATAAGTGGTCTGCAGCTATTAATGAAAATTTTAGATGTGCGTATTTTATTAATTCTCTTTAATTTAGAAAGTTTTTAAGCCATACAATTTAGAAGGGTTTTTATGTTAATTTTTATTATTTTAGCGTTTTCCTGGGCAACACTCTTTCTTGCCATGTCTTTGGTAAACAGATTTCCCCAAATCTCAGAGGTTTAAAGCAACTTCATCTTCACAGTAGTAAGATTTTTTTTCTGACAGTTTCTTCATAAAAGGAATTAAAATTGTTAAAGCTACCTACAGGACTAAATCAGAATTAAATTTAGAACCCAGAACCTTGGTAGGGCTGTGGGGAGGAGAAGGAGGGAGACTCTCGTTCTCTCATCATAGCCTGTCTGGAACTGACTCTTATTTCTGGAATGATCTGGAGTCCTAGCTGGAGAACGGGCAGGGCACAGCCTCCTGTTTGCAGGCAGCCTCCATTTCCTGACAGAAGAGCCTCACCAGTAAGAGCACACCCCCTCTGGTATTCCAGGGAGCTTCCTCTCTGGGGTCCCTGTGAAACATTTCAGCAAAGGGGGATTTTGTTTCTTTTCATTGTTTATTTTTTTTAAGAACAAGCCTCATCCTGTCTCCTAGGCTGGAGTGCAGTGGTAAGGTCACAGCTCACTGCAGCCTCCAACTCCTGGGCTCAAGCAGTCCTCCTGCCTCAGCCTCCTAAGTAGCTAGGACCACAGACCTTTTCATTGTATTTGACTTATTTATACCCTATAATTATTGGGTAGATATGTAAGTAATACAAAATTGTGCCTGACTATACTGAACCAGAAACTTTTAAAAAAATGTTTGTCTTTGATTATCTGTTTTCAAATACATACCGTTTTTAGACCTCAGGCAATTCAGGCCATGAAAAGGAGGGCAGCTGATTGGGATACCGTTGGAGAAGTATTGATAATACGAAACGGCAATCTAGCTAGAGGTCAGCCAAGTATGATTTTTTGAAGTTAAAAAAAAAAATGTGTGCTTTTTCTCTGGAAAAACCCTCATCTTTTCATCAGAGTCTCTTCAGTTTCCCTAGTAAATCTGTGCCTTACAAGAATAGAACTATATAAAGTACTGGTAACTTTTGCCAAAAACAAAAACAGTCTTTTAGGAAAGGAACAAATGATTTCTTTAGAGTTTACACTCTTTGTCACATTCCGTGGCCTCCACTAGCCAGTGGCAACCCAAGATTTCAGCTTCTGTGGGTCCTGGGTTCCACTTAGTGACTATCATATTAAGCAAACTACATAACCTCTCTGAAAAATGAAGACAAGGATAGCCGCTGTATCATAGGGTTGTCCTGAGGAATATGCATGCACCCAGAGCCTGCGGGTAAATGTTACCTGGGTTTGCTGTCGTGAGCTTCAGTGGGTTACTTTGTTTTGTGTCTGTTTAACTTTTGCTTGTGTCATTCTCACTGCCTCAGATTTCTGTAATTAAACACATACTATTATAACTTTAGGGGGAAGAGTCAAGGAAATTATTGTAGGATGAGCGACTTGGTAAGACTTTATGGAGGAGGGGTACTTCAGCTGTGACGCAAAGAATTAGTGTTCAGGTGGCTGGAGACCTCACACTCGTTAGAGTGGCTTCTATTAAAAAATCAAATGCAGAAAGTAATAAGTGTTGACAAGGGTGTGGGAAACTTGGACATGTGTTCACTTATAACAGAAATGCAAGATAGTTCAATCTCTCTGAAAAATAGTTCTGTAATTCCCCCACAAAATTAAAACAGAAATGCCGTATGATCCAGAAATTTCACTTTTGCTTATACTCATATACCTAAAATAATTAAAAGCAGGACCTCAAAGAAATACTCATATACCTATTTTTATAGCAGCAAAATTCGTAATAGCTAAAAGGTGGAAGCAATCCACGTATTGTCCAATGGATTAATGGATAACAAAATGTGGAACCTTCCTGCAATGGAATATTATTCATCCATAACAAGGAAGGAAATCCCAGCCTGTACTATAATGTAGATGAATCTTGAAGACATTATAAGTGAAAGATGCCAGTCACAAAAGACAAATACTTTTCAGCTCCACTTACATGCGATCCCTAGAGTGGCCAAGTTCATGGGGGGGGGGTGGCCAGTGAGCCGGGGGAGGGGGGACATAGGGCATTGTTTATTAGGGATAGAAGTTTAGTTCTCCAAGATGCAGAGACTTCTGGAGATTGGTTGCACAACAATGTGGAGGTATTTTACTGAACTTAGAAATGGCTAAGAGGTTGATAAACTTTGTTATGTGTATTTTACTAAATAAAGGCAGATGAAAGGGAAGTTTTTGAATTTTGAATCATTTCAATATATAACCAATAAACTTTCTTTCACTTAAAAAGCAAGGTAAGTCTAGTGTGATAGTAACTGACATATAGAGTGCTCAAGTCTGATGTAGGTTTGTCTGTTTCAGGCAGCATGGAGAGTGCTGAAGGCCACGGCCAGGCTGAGGAGTCCCCAGCGCCGGAGGTGGGAGCTGCCGGCGCCTCTCCACAGGGGCCTCGGGGAGAACAGGGCCAGGTTCTTTATCAGGAAGAAACCATTGATCTGGGTGGGGACGAGTTTGGGTCTGAAGAGAATGAGACGGTGTCAGAAGACTCTGGCAACCTGGTGGATAAGCTGAACGAGCACATGATGGAGAGCGTCCTCATCTCGGACTCTCCCAATCACAGCGAGGACGACGGGGCTGATCTGGGTTGCCTGCAGGATGTCATGGAGCCCGGAGAAAGCAGCGCTGACCACAGGCTGGAAAACATCACAGACAGAGAAGAAATGGACACTCTGAGTAATGACAGTGAAACTGATGGGGACACTACTCCTAAGGACGTCTCAGACGTGACCTCTGATAGCAGAGCCTCATTGAAAGAAGACTCAGCACAAGAAGAAGTAAAAGGCACGTCCGTGTTTGAGAGCAACGATGCAGAGGACTCGCTGTCCAGAGATGCCGAGGCTCCCCCAGAAGAGCAGGTCTCGGGGACGCCCTCCAGCCAGGCCTCTCCCAGAGAGGAGCCTGTCCCCATGTGCACCATTTTCAGCAAGTCCAGCTCAGCTCCTTCACAGCCTCACCTGTTCTTGCACGACGGCTTCGAGTCACAGATGGTGAAATCGCCCAGCTTCAGCAGTGCCAGTGAGACTTCGGCCAAGACCCCCCCACAGGTGGTCCAGCCTAGTCCCAGCCTGAGTAAATTTTTTGGAGATACGATCAGCACTAACTCCTTAGCCTCCGACTTCTTTGATTCCTTCACTACTTCCACATTCATTTCTGTCAGTAACCCCAACGCAGGTGCTTCCATTCCAGAAAAACTGTCTTCACTCCCTGCTTCCCCCGACTCCACTGACCCTTCTTGCTCTGCAGGAGTTGAAAGGTCAGAGTCGGGTGTTTCCTCAGCTTCTCTGGAAATTCCCGAGTCTCCAAAACCGTTTTCACAGATACAGGCTGTATTTGCAGGGAGCGATGACCCCTTTGCCACCGCTCTGAGCATGAGTGAGATGGACCGGAGGAATGACGCCTGGCTTCCCAGCGAGGGGACCCGGGACATCCTGATGGCAGTGGCCACCCAGCAGTACAGCACTGTGTTCGTAGACAAGGAGAACCTGACCATGCCAGGGCTCAGGTTCGACAACATTCAGGTAAGACGTGGAATGAGGCTCCCATCTAACCTATCCCTGTAAAATACATGTAGTACCTCTGAAAGGGTGAAAAAATCCTTATTTTCAGTAGTTCCTAAAATTTCAATTGTGAGATTTCTGTTATTTTGTCACTCGGTCACTGGGAACTCTAACAGATTCCCCTAACAAGGTATTTAACCTGCAGCTTGGAGTCATAGAAGTAAATGCCAGCAGGGCAGCTAGTTACCCTGTAATTCTCTGAATTAATTCTACTTTGCAAGACCATTTGTGACCCTTGAAGTCTAGTAAATAATAAATCCACTTTTTTTAAAGATAGAAAAATGTAATTTGTATTACATATAACACGTTTGCTGTAAAAGCCTTTTAGATTCAATTAAAAAATATGTAAATGCCGTATATACTAAATGGTTATACACAAATGTTCAGTCTCAGTAATAATCAAGGGTAATCAAATTATTTACACTTTCCATCTAATTCTTTGTTTTGTTCACTATTGTTCATGATTGTTGAAGTACAGGAAAATTGCCTGAGCTAGCCCTGATGGGACCAGAAATTGGTACAAGCATTTTTAGGTAAAGTTTTAAAATTCATATTAATCCAGAAATTCC